GCGTACGTTCATCGCACCACAATACTGTATTTTCTTCCACTAACATTGACAAATGAACATACAGGCCAACGAACATTTAGGTTTGAAGCCTAGTAGAAATTTAAGAAAGTCTCCTTTCCTCTGACCCCCGTAGCAAGATTTCCCAATTGAAGAAAGTTGCTCTAAAACCCTTCGCCAGTCCCATGGTAGGACACTTTGAGAATTTTAGGGTTTTGTATATAAATTATTCCTTTGATGAAAGACTCAAAGTAAATGAATATATGTGACTGACTTTAAATGGCTTTATTTTACCAAATTGATACCTCCTTTGCATGCCAAACTATTCCCATTGATTTTACTTCATTGGTTTCCTACTCAACAACAGAAGCTCTCCCATTTCAATAAAAACATCTAAGTGTAAATATGAACAACATTAATATCTTTCACAAATAGAAAGACACTAATCTCAGGACTGCCTTCCAGGATGGACTTGTTAAATGTATGAGGTATTAATCATAATTATTCATTTTAGAATTTAATTGCTATTATTCAAATGGAGCTGTTACATAATCACAAACTTAGTTTGTGATAATTGCAGTTGATAATATATTTAAGTCAGAGATAGAAAAGAAGGGGCCTGTTTTGCAATGTTAACAGGGATAAAAGGAGTATGTTTATCTTTTCAGGAGAAATATTTTAATGTACTTCTTATGATATGATCACATAGTAAGTCAAGTTCCAAACTACTAAATCCAGTGTTTTATATGCGAGTTACAAATTCTTTTTTTTATTAAATATGGAACACTTCACGAATTTGTGTGTCATCCTTGCACAGGGGCCATGCTAATCTTCTCTGTATTGTTCCAATTTTAGTATATGTGCTGCCAAAGCGCGCACCAAATTCTTCTTTCATTAGTTTCATTTATTCATTAAAACTCTAAGAGGTTCAATTCTTTCCTGCTCTAGTCCCATTCCAGCTGCCCCCAAATAGGCTTTACACTTCTTCACTAAGAATGGGGATTTGAAACTATTCTCATACTCAAGGTAACTACTGGAGTTTAATTTTTTTTTTTGGAACTGAATTAGAAACTGGTGTTAGAACTTAAATTATAATTGTTTGTTGCTATTTCTACTCAGAGAAGGCAGCTACTCTTCACTAACAAAGGGGATGGCCAGAATCATGCTGAAGTATGGCCCAATCACAGTAGGAAACCAATGCTGATATTTAGGAAATACTTGAGTAGTCTGATCCAAAAGATCAGACTATGTACCAAAAGATACATCCTATTTCTTTTTTAAAAGTTTGATAGTTTGAATTATTCAATATTTCATAGAGACATTCCTAGGGAGACTGGACATATTTCAACCTGTTGAACGGGAAAAAGAGTATTTGGGATTAGCTGGAATGGTCTCCCTGAATAGAGGGATGACATGTATCAAACTCAAATCTATCTAACACTTTTTCTAAGTGTTAAAAAAGTCAGATAAAAAAATTAAAATTTTCCAGAGGCCTAAAGGTGGAATCTCAGATTCATTATATTTTTTAAAATTTTTTGATTGATTTCAGAGAAGAAGGAGAGGAAGAGAGAGATAGAAACATCAATGATGATAGAGACTGCACGTCCCTTTCTGGGGATCAAGCCTGCAACTCGGGCATGTGCCCTGACTGGGAATCAAACTGTGACCTCCTGGTTTACAGGTCTACGTTCAACCACTGAGCCACGCCGGCTGAGCCTCAGATTCATTCTTGATTCCTCCAGCTCTTTTCTACCCCTAATTTGGTTAACCGAGACCTAGCAAACATAACTATGAAATGCTGCTTCCTTTCCAATTAGTTTTCAACAGTTTCAGTTAAGAAAACTAAAGGTCCAGCCACTAGAATACAGTAAATGCCACTGCTCTTGACTATGTCCACAAAATGTCTTCTTTGGGCTACTGTAATAGCCAACCAACTGATACCCTGCATCCAGTTCTGTTGCCCTTGTTCATCTTTTGAGTGTTAGTATGTTTGGAGTTCTGTTGTTTCCCCTCTCACTCTCTCATTCTGTACTTCCCCCCCCTGGACAGTTAATAAAGGCACTGTGGATTCAAGTGCCCTTAATATGATGATAATCCTGCAATTTTTATCTCTAGCCTAGATCATTATCTTAGGCTTCAAACCTGTAAACTGGTCTAAGAGATATCTCTTGGAGGTCCCACAGAAACCTCACCTGTTCACCTCAATCCTACTCCTCATTTGTGGTCCCAATCTCAGAAAATGAAACCTCCACCTGCCCAGGTGAGAGCCAGGAACCAGATACTATTCTTGGGTTCTTTCACTCATAATCTCGCATTTATTTGTCACTCATATCTGTTCATCTTCTCCATACTCACTGACACGATCAGTCCAGGCCATCATTAAATTTCCCCTGGATTACTACTGTACCAGACTCCTAAATAGTCTCCCTACCCTCAGGCTTGTCCCACTGCAATCCTGGCTACACACTGCAACCGGTGTGATTTTTCTAAAATTGCAAATATGGACAAGCTTCTCTCCTGCTTAAAATCCTTCAATAGCTTACTGCTGCCCTTAAGATCAAGGTACAAATGCATAACTAATCTATAAGGCTCCTCAAGGTTCCTCTGGAGACTCATCACTAGCCACTGCCCCTTTAGCTAATTAAGCTCTGGTTTTACATTTGGTCTCTCGGTTTTCCACTCTGGGTCTTTGAAATTCTTTTTCCTCTTCCTGGAATATTCTTTCTCTCTGTCCCTGCCTCCTTTGCCAAACTCATCTTTAGATGCCAATTGGATTTCATTTACTATTTCCCTGAAATGCCCCTCCCAAGATTGCTCCCAAGATTGGGTTTGGTGGCCTTCTGATTTGCTCTAAGAGAACACTCTATTCATTTTATATGGCCATGTTGTTTCTATACTCTAATTGCTCTCTCTCTCTCGCTCTCTCTCTCTCTCTCTCATTAACCATACCATGAGTTTTTTGAGGGTAAGGGCTTTGTATGTAATTGTATCATAGGTGCCTAACAAAGCCTGATTGCACTCTATAGTTTGAATTCAGGTCCTTCTAAAACAGTGGTTCTCAACCTTCTGGCCCTTTAAATACAGTTCCTCATGTTGTGACCCAACCATAAAATTATTTTCGTTGCTACTTCATAACTGTAATGTTGCTACCGTTATGAATCGTAATGTAAATATCTGATATGCAGGATGGTCTTAGGCGACCCCTGTGAAAGGGTCATTCAACTGCCAAAGGGGTCGCGACCCACAGGTTGAGAACTGCTGTTCTAAAAGATGTCTGACAGCTCTTCCAGGACTACTGAATAAAGACTCCCATTTTAACGTGGCATATAAGGCCCCTCTCAATGTGCTGGAAGATATCTTCCCAACTTCATGTCCAGGAACTCCTGCCTATGCTCCCTCTACTTTCTGAGTATATTACTCTGAACACCTCCGCTCAGGGTCATTCTGATGCCTCCACTTTTGCTTATACTGTTCCCACTTTCTGGAATATCATTCCTCTGCTTCTTTCCTGAATAACTTTTTCCAAACCCCTCTTAGCTCCAATTCAGGCAGACTTAATAGCTCTCTTCTAGGTCATCACGGAACGTTACATTTTCCTCTGTTACAGCACTTATCTTGCTGTATTACAGTTATTTCTCTTTAATGCCTCCCTGGCCAGACAATGAACATCAGGAAGATACATATTATGTATACTCATTTTTAGATGCCTGCCACGGTGCCTGGCTTCTAATAGGATTCAACTATTTATCACATTGAAATAATTAAAGCACATTTACTGTTTCAACTACTCTTATCAAGATTAAGGCAGAAGACAGGTAAGGGGAGAATAGGTCATTCTACAAAAAGTAAAAGTGAATATGTCTAGTTTTATATACTTTGTTTAACCCTAGGAAGAATTGGGCTTCCTTCCCAACCTACCCCCTTATGTATCCTTGGCAAGAGAAATAAGAGCACGAGGGAAAAAAAAATAAGCTAGAAATGTTTTATGAGTAATGCTCTACTAAAACTTGAAAAGGAAAATTTAATGACAAAAGTCCAGAAAGCCTTGATTTGAATCCCAGCCCCGTTACTTTCTGACCTTGTGCAAACTACTATATCTACCAAGCCTTGGCTTTTCTATCTGTGCAATGGCAATGATAATAATATATCTTCACATCTAGGGTTATTGTAAGGATTAAGAGTTTATATATGTAAAATATTTAGAACAAAGCATGGCATACAGTAAGCAGTTATTGTGTTAGATATTGTTATTATAGCATATTACATTAATTCCTATAATGCCTTCAACTCTAGTTTTTAACTCCTAAATTCTTCCTAATTTTCTCAAAGGGTGGTATAAAATTAACCCGGTAGTAAAATAAATGAATTTCAAAATCTTTGTTGGTTTGGGTTAGAAAACTGTCAAATTTAAGATGTGGATGCCATAAAATTAAAAAGGGATGTATTATAATTCTTAAATCACTATCATCATTGCTAAAATAAGAGTTATTAAAATTTTACAATGCTAACATGTGATGTAATGATATTAATAAAAATTCCAGCTTAAAAGCCACAAAAATGATTTTCAAATATTTTGATATAACCTATAATCTTGATAAGTAAATAGTTATGATTTAGCCATATTTTTTTAAAGTACAGCCAAATCTTGATTACCTTTAGTCTCTGGAGACATGGATAACTTAGATATTTAAAATCCATTTCAGAACTTCATCTTTAGCCTCTTCTCCTATCAAACCTTTACCATGGTTCACTTAATGGGCTAATTTGCATTTCAACTCCTTTTTTTCTTCTTGAACAATGAAATAGCAAAATAAATAAATGAATAAAGTTTTGACAATAATATAGGAAGGAAGGGCTAATGTCTTTGAATAATCAAGAGTTGGCTGCACAGCATTATGTTTATCTTAAGAATAAAAATAGTCTCACTCTCCTTCATATCTTTAAATAAAATCAAACAGGAGTTCCTATGCCTTAACATTCCTAGTCAGAGTTTCTCTGAGTACCTGAAAGAACCCTGGTGGTACAGGACCTACTGGCATGCCATCTCCTGGGGGAATGTTTCCTAGCACTGGACTGGGAGCTGCTGCAGCACTCTGCAAAGAATAAAGGAGAAACAAACCTATATCATTACAGAGAAGGCACAAAACCAAAGACTAATGATAATAGATTGTAGGAGGGGAAGCTTTTCATTCCTGGGAACAAATATTGGTAATTTCCCCCTCTACAGAGGTAAACTAAGATACAACAGTTAGTTTAGTATATGATTAAGTTATTTGGTTTAAACAGGTCTCTTTAAATTTTCTGAAGTCACAGAACTTTAATAAGATGTTATATTTGAATGACATATAAAAAACAAATAACATAACAAAATGATAAAAGTTTAAACAAATGCTTTAAGGCACAGGCATCTGAAATGGCAACATCGTAACAATAGGTAAATATGTAAGCAATAAGTTTGAAAATGGTAGTTGTAGGAGTTGGAAAACAGAACTATCTTTTTAGATTACGCTTTTCTGTATGTCATAAATAAATTAGGTTTCTGCCTATAGGTGGCAACACATTATTTATTATCTTTCTGATAGACTACAATTGGTAACTAAAATATAATTGATAGTAAAAATAACGTAGTGAGTGTAAAAAAATAATTAGGAGACTTAAGAGAAAGGAATAGATTTGGAGAGAATAGTCTCATATAAACAAATTATTTAAAAAACAGGTTGAAAAATTCAAAGTCTACTTCACTTGCAAATTATTTCATCGAATCCTAGGGCTTCATGACATAAAAATACAAAAACCTTTGGGTTTAGACTTTGTAATCAAATCAAGGTTTTAGATTTAATTCTTACACAGAGCAATAATATATACAACTGCTCTACAATCATGGATTTCATCTCTCAACCTGGGTGAGCATATTACAAATACTGAGAACAGTCAAGAAGGAACCAAAAATATGCTGAAGACAGATTTGTATACATCCAACTGTTCTGCTATGAAAAGAACTCAAAACAAACACTGGATCTAGTGGATCTGTGGCACTACCCTCACCTATTCATTCATGTACTAATATCTCAATAGAAGATGTAATATCTCAGTATGTTTGTAGCATATATCTCCCAGTATATAAACTGATAAAAATAATAATGTTTATTCTATAGCACTGGCAGTTATTAATAATGAAGGCCAATGATTTTAATATTTCCTGAGGAAATCTAGGTGTAAATGTGGCTATCTAAAATGTTGCTTACCTATCAATGCTAAAATTCTAAACATCTGATAAAGCATATAACTATAAAAGAAATAATATTTCTTAAACATTAATATATTATTCTATTTTAAGCAAAAGCATGCAATTTAATGTAGGGTACATTAATTGAATACCTACCATTAGCCAGATATTGTTCTATATCACCTCATATGTCAACACTCACGTTTTTTAAAAAGTGAAAGGCAAATTTCTTTTTTTCATTTTAACTAAACTTGAATAAAGACTAAATATAGAATGTTAGAGTAAGAGGAAATTTTACCACCTAACATATATTCTCGTTTAGTCTAAATGTATATGATTAAGTCAGATCTGGGAAGAAAGATTTGATCTGCATCCTTTGGCAGTGAGGGGAAGCTGCTCTTAGTACTAAAAGCTAGACACTGGATGTCATTATTGTTCTAATTAATTGCAGAACAGAAACTTGTTTTTGCAATACAAAAGACAGATTTGTAAACCTCACTCACCTATCTATATATATAAAAGCCTAAGCGACCATCCAACCATCCAACCGTTCGACCAGTAGCTATGACGCGCACTGACCACCAGGGGGCAGATGCTCAACACACAGGCATGGAAACATGGAATAGACTGATAAATCTCAGAGGTAAGCAGGGCGAGAGGAGGGTGGGAAGAGATTAACCAAAAATCTTATATGCATACTAGAGGCCCAGTGCACGGATTCATGCACCGGTGAGGTCCCTCGGCCTGGCCTGCAGGGGTTGGGCTGAAACTGGCAGTCTGACATTTCCTGAAGGGTCCTGGATTGTCAGAGGGCACAGGCCAGGCCGAGGGACACCACTGGTGTACGAATCTGTGCACCAGGCCTCTAATACTTGTATAGAAATGCATACTATAATGTTGATCAGGTTTATAAAACCAAAACAGAATTCAGTGAATTACTGCAACTTCCTAGTGTAGTTCAAAGATGAGATTTCTCCCTTAATTCTAGTTGCCTAGAAAGTATATAAAAGAAGATTTTGCCTACCCAAAGGAAATAAAAATGTTTGTTTGCAACTAAACTAAAATTCAAGAAGTAAAGATGCTGGGTCATCATTGGCTCCTTTACTTTTCTGGGGGACTACATAGTTTAAAGGTACTTAATATGCTAATTTTTTCTTCCGAGTTCTTTATTATACATGTTTCTTATGTTTTTTCCAGGTATTATTTAAAAGTGAGACATAATTGTCAGATGAAGAATTAAGCAATGTAAATCGTTAAAATGACTTTAAATTTTAATTTCATGACTTCAAAATTATTTAATAAATTCAATCAAAATATATTGTCAAGGACTCTTTTAAGCTGTGCAATATAGCAGTTAACATCCTTGCCCTTTATTTTTGCTTTTACAAAAACTAAATATACATATTTTTATTGTTGAGAGTATTACACATGTCCCCCATTTCCCCCAACCTTTGTTCCACTCTGCCCAGCCCCTCCCCTCCCCCAGGCCTTCACCACACTATTGTCTGTGTCCATGGGCTATGCATATAAGTATATAGGTTCTTTGGTTTATCTCTTCACTGTCCACCCCTCTTCCCACCAGAGATATGTCCATCTGTTCCATGCCTCTGAAACATATAAAGTGGTTAAGAATTGGTGATCTAAATATTACAGATGATGTTGCAGAAGAAAAAAAGAGTGCTGTGATTAGCTGGTAATTTCTACAAAATGCTAACTTTTTCATATGAAAGCAAAGAAGCATGGGAAATTACAGAAAACAGAAGGGAAGCAGCTACTGATGCTAAAAAATGTTTTAAGTACAAGAGAAATGCAAAAAGACCCTGATAAACGCAGTGATGATTTCATTCCTAAGAATACTTTAGGAGGCAGCCTTTGATTCAGTTGTTAGTTTTCAGGACAGCAGCCATATTTCCTGGTTCCTTGAATTCTATATTCAGCTTTAATCAGAAATAATAGATTATAAGAAAAAGGGCTGACATAAGGGACTTGTTTGGAGACCATGTCATTCTAAATGATATCTTCATATCTGTACATGCATCCCAAATATTAGGTGCCTAGTCATTTGATCACACAAAATTTTGAACTTGGTGTAAATAATCCCCAAAGTGATGATTATAAATTATTAAGAAAACTCATATTAATAGCATATAAAAGTTTCTGTTTAAAAATGAAATGAAATGGGGATATTTATGATACCATTATCATCATTCATATATTGTATTTATAAGTTCAGCCTTCAAGAAGCATTTATTGTCTTCATATGAACTTCTGATGTTGTGTAAATTGTTATTAGAGCAATAAGCCTGTGTTATGGCCACATGACCACACCATAGGCCAATCTGTGAGAGCTTTTCCATTAAACATCCCTCCTCCCACCCACAATCTAACATTTTGGTCAAACACTTAATAAAGTGATCTTCAACAATATTTCAAAATGCCATAGTTTAAAGAGAAACACAAGGAAAAAATGTTAGGCATATTAATGTTGTACCCTTTTTCTCAAGTTTGTAACTGTTATTGTTATTGTCCCTGTTTTTTCTTTTTAACTCAAAGATGGAAGACTTTGTCTTTTTTCTACACTGTTGATTCAATGTAAAAAATCCCTGGGCTTCTATTTGAGAGTGTAAGTATTTTACTCTGACTGGAACTTTACAGGAGAAATTGGATGAGTCACCTTTTGAGAAAAAAAAAATTTCCCCTCTGTGGTAGGCAGAACAGCCACCCAAAGATAGCCATGCAAACCCCAGGGCCTGTGAATGTGGCAGCCTCTAGAAGCCGAGAGCAGCCCCAGGCTGACTCCTAAAACCCCAGGGAACTGAAAGCTACCAACAAACTACATGAACTTGAAAGTGGATTCTTCCCAGAGCCTCCTGATAAGAACCCAGCTGGCTCACACTCCTTGATTTCAGCCTTGCAAGATCTAGAGTGGAGAAACCAGCCCACTTATATCAGACTCTGACCTACAGAACCGAGAGATAATACATTTACAGTGCTTTAAGCTGCTAACCTTGTGGCAATTTATGTCAGCAGTATAAAACAAATACACCCCTCCCCCAAAATGACTATTTCATTTTGAAGGACATTTTAAGGGCATCTAGAAACTAGGGAATTCTATGGCTCCTTAGAGGTAACTGTACTTGACCTGTTGCACAGTATGCATTTGCTAGTACTCCCATTTTTATCACATCAAGTGTCCATCAGATTAAAAATAAAAATACCTCCTAGGTTTAACAAAGCTTGGTCCTATGGTTTACCTGGTCTCACAGTTCTTCTAGTGGCTTTTAATTGTGTCCTATGTGAATCGGTTCCCCGCTTCAGTAGTGAAGGGTGGGGAAGCACAGTGAGAAGAAGGGCACATGCAGCATCTCTTCTTCAGTTACAGTTGCCTGCCAGACCTCTAACTCTGCTTTTCTCTTATTCATAAAGGAATCGCTCCTTAACTATTAACAGAAGGTTCTACCAATACCATCTAGCCAAGCTCATTTCTAGGGTAGGGAAAATATAAAAACTGAAACCATAGTTTGAAGATTACCACCATGTAAACTCTGCTAATGGTCCCTGTTTTGACCCTGTACACTGATTCAAAATTACTGAATGCAGCCTCAATCCTTGTGCCAAAGAGGGTTCATTTCTTTCTTCCATTTGCTGGGCTTCCAGCCTCAGTTCCCACCTAACTAGCACCTCGATGTCTCAGAGCCCAAAGCCAACATTCTATTGAGTTCTTTCCTCATATTACTTCTGAGGGGATATGTTCTGCCATGGGACTTCCATTTCTATGGCTGAATCCTCAGTACTTGATGTTGGGTTCCCTTGTTGCCAATAGTTCCCCTGCCTAGATCTCCACTTATTATTTCTTACCATGCTCCC